GCCCTGGCAAGGGTCAAGGGCCTGGGGGGGAGAGGCTGGCCCTGGCAGAGGTCGGGGGTCTTGAGGGGGCTAGGGGAGGGGGGCCTGTTGGGGGTTCCCCCTTGGTCCCCTTCCCCCTCCTCCAGCCCGCCAACCCCTTACTAACCGGCACCAGGGTGAGGGCCAGCCATAGAGATGCTCTGGCAGCCAGAGCATCTCTGTAGAGGACCCAGCCTCCAGTTGCCCCAGGGCATGGTCAGGGACTGTGCCCTGCTCCACTTTTTTAAACATCAATTTTTTTTTTTTTTTTTTTTTTTTTTTTTTTTTTTTTTCATTTAAGACCCCTGGATATTCAGGGGTCTAATTTTCTCCCTGTGCTGTAAGTTTGCAGCACAGGGAACATTTTTTTTTTTCTCACATGTGCCTGTTTGAGCTCCTTTGAGGTGGGCAAGAGGCAAGTGCTTGCTCGTGTGGATGCGCCCATGGTATTCAACCTCTTTGGCCAGTGGGCCTGATTGGCAGTGCCCAGGCTATCTGAGAGCCAGATCTGGCTGGTGGTCCTGATCTGACATGGGGCAGTTGCAGCAGGGCTTCATTCAGCTGCGCGGAGGAGGGCAGGGAGCATCCTGGCTCCAACCTGGCCCCACAGTGGGGCAGGGGGCATGACCCTGCCCTTTTGGGGAGAGGGGCTTGTCCCAACCCCAGCCCAGCCCCATGTGGGGGAAAGGGGTGTGTGGCCCATCCCTACAGGGGAAAGGGGGCTTGACCCACCCTGCAGGGTGGGAAGGGGCTTGACTGACTCCAGTCCAGCCCCATGGGGGAAATGGGGCATGGCCCAGCCCCATGTGGTGCAAGGAGAGGGGCATGGCCCAGCCTCATCTAGCTGTTGAGGTGGGGAGAAGGGGCGTGACCTGGCCCCAACCTGTCCTGGGATTTGGGAGTTTGGCAGCCAGGGCGGGAGGTTGGCCATATTTATTGCCACCACTCTCCTGCCACCAAATTTCCTGATCCATGGGGAGCCTCACAGGCTGAATACCTATGGGTCTCTGGGCCTCATTTGGCTCATAGACCAGAGTTTGAGCACCCCTGGTTTAGCCCATACTTAACATAATCCAGTCTGTGGATGATTTATTGTTCTGCTGTTTCCTATTCAAGTTCAGTTTTAAAGTTTTGATATCTAAGATCCTTCTGAAGTCAGCAATGGAATGTCCAAGCAGGTTAAAGTAGTCTGACACAGGCTTGTGAGTCTTTCTGGAACTGATGTCAGATTGGCGTTCATTCATTCTTACACGTAGCAATCACCCTGTCTACAGCTTAGACAACATAGTTGTTTCTGCCAGGCTCACAACGTTCAAGGATACAAAATATTTGGTGTCATAGCAGTGGAATATCTTGCCGGTTGAATTCCTTGCACTCCAGAATGGAAAGAGCTGGCACTTACTTAAGTGCTAAATACATTTCTTCTTTGTACAGTTTGTGGTATTTGGTATATATTGATTCTTTTTTTTAACAGAATTGCTGTAGTCCCCCTGGGTTTGTTTGTTTTTTTTAATTTAGTAATACGCTTATGTTGCTTCTGTACGTAACCATAATCTGTCTATTAGTGCACTATATAACAAGTAGTTATACTTGTAGTTAGACAGAGATGTTAGTTGTATTTAGATCATTTGGTAATAGCTACTTAATAACTAAGCAAGCATGCTTAATTATAAATGTATATAGTTATATCATTATGATGTTTATAAAGATATCTCTCCATTTTAGATATGAGAATTTTGAAGATCCTCTTGGGATTATTGACAAATTTCACTATGGTACACACTACTCAAATGCTGCTGGTGTGATGCATTACCTCATTCGGGTAGAACCTTTCACCACACTTCATATCCAGCTTCAGAGTGGCAGGTATGTTGTGAGCAAATTAATATCATCCTTCTCCCTCTTTTTCTCCTCAAGTTCTTCAAGGATGGTTTTATGAGAGTAATCAAAATGTAATTTGTCTTTTCCAACCTACAGGTTTGATTGTGCAGACCGGCAGTTCCATTCCATTCCTGCCACGTGGCAGGCTCTCATGGACAACCCAAATGATGTGAAGGAGCTCATTCCAGAGTTCTTCTACTTCCCAGAGTTTTTACAGAATCAAAATGGTAAACAGAATTTTCAGAATGAATTATGTAGACTATGCCTCTCATGCTTCTCTATTAAGAATTGTTGCAACCTGTTTCAATGTACTCGGGAAGACTGTTCTCAAGATCATACTATCTTTTAATCATTTAGTGAGATGTCAGTTATATTAAGCCACTGCTTAATTGTGAGATTTCAAATTTGGAGAGAAAATGTCAGGATGGCTAAAAGTAGTAACATTTGGTTAACAAAAGAACCAAAGCAGTTACATTTTTTAAAAAATATTTACCATTTAAACTGCATTGATCCTGGGTAACTTGCTTCCTCTGCCTTTGTTCTTTTTGTGAAAGAACAAGGGCATTTTTAAATTACGTAGGACTTTTGTTGTTGTTGTTGGGTCTGTAGAATCAGTGCTAACTAGTATTTTCAGAAGTGTTCTAAAATAACTGGAATTTACAGAAGCCTAAGGTTCCAAGATTTTTTAAAAGAAATAAAAGCTGTTACATTCTGTAAACTATGTTTATTGAAAAACAGCTTCCCTACATATTGGTAGGAGACCTATACTTTTTTTTGTTATTTTTTCACTTCACTTATTAGCTAGGAAAATCATGCTTGATGTCTCACTCCCCAGAGGCTAGTTTAATGTAAGAAGGATTTGTATTGTATTTATGCTGTTAAAGAAAAACAGCAGTTTTAAGACTGGCATGTAAAGCCCATTACAGATTTGGAGTAAAATCTTTAAGAACCATGAAGTCCATGAAACGTCAGCATTAAGTGTTTACAGACCTGCAACCTAGATGAATGAGTCACTTTTAACATTGTGATTTAAGTTCCTAAGTTATTTAAATAGTTTTGAAAATTCTACAAGATATCATATACCTGTTTAAAAACTTCAGCGCAAAACTGTCCCTCCGATACTATTAAGAGCAAAATCTTTCTCTGAAGCACTTCGATTTCCTTCCATATGTCTCAAATATAACACCTAATACAGGAGACAAATCTACCTTTTCAATCTGTTTGTAATGATTAAGGTATTTGAAACATTGTCTTGAGTTTTAAACTAAATTGTCTCATTTTTACTTTCTAGATTTTAACTTGGGTCAGTTACAGATCTCCAAAGAAGTAGTGAATGATGTTATTCTCCCCAGATGGGCCCATTCACCTGAAGATTTCATTTGTAAACACAGGAAGGCACTGGTAAGACAAAGGATAAGTTGATTTCTTTGGATTAAGTACCGAGAGACAGAAATATAGAACTTGGTATCACAATGGCTACCTTAAGATGGTGGGAGCAGAATTAGAACTGTACTGTGATTGTGTCACTTACCAGTTTCCATGTCTCAGTAACGATTTTGGGAGGGAAAGCTGTGTGACAGTTGATTTAATCTGTATATTGCTTTATGAACAAGTAGGTCTTAATTCCCTAACGTTGTTAATACAAAAACATTCATGGATTGTAAACTCTCTAGGAAAAAGACCTGAAAAGGAGTTGGTTACCTAGAAGTAGTGTTGGAACTTTTCAGTTCAAAACACTGTGAGTGTAATGCCCTCCAAGGCCACATCCACACAAGTGTGGACGTTTTGGTTCCCCGAGGACAACTAGCAGTGGGGCATCTTGTGCCACCGCTAGTTGTCCCCAGGGAGTGTCTGTGCCACAAGCTCTCTGACATGCAGCCAGTTACCCTGGGTGGGGTTAGGGTAGTCTGGGGCCAGCACTGGGCTGGGCCCAGCAGCATTACTTGGGTCCTGGGGCTGGCTGCAGGAGTGGCGCTCCTCTCACTCAGAGCCTGGCTGGCAGCTGGAGTATGACTGCCCAGCCAGGCTCGAGTTTGGAGCTTCATGTGCTGCCCCTGTGTGCGCCACTCCACTTTTATTCTCCACAGGTTTTTGGACCCCTGGATATCCAGGGGTCCAACCCCCCCACCCCCATTCTGCTACCTTGCAGCGTGCAGAGCAGCTGACTGTGCAGTATGTGGCACTGCACTCTTCTGAACTCAACCCAGAAGGGGAAAGAGCAAAGTTTCTAAGATCTTACTGTAAGGGAGTTTGTTGTTTTATTTAGGAAATAGATATGAAATCATTTATAAAGTGGTGAACTTTTTGCCACTGGTATGAAGATTATTCTACTGCTCATTGTTAATATTAGGAAATTTACTGATAATCTTTCTAATTTTTTCTTTTCTCAATTTCATGTAATTACTCACAGTTGTACTCCTTTGCTATGTTAAATTGTTCCCCTTACATCATATTAACTAGGATAAACAGGCATGCATATTCTTATGTCTTTGCAACCTGTTGGCATATGTACGCTTTTGGGGCATGTTTAAATGTTTTTTGTGCGTTTTAACATCAGTAGGGACACCCAGAAGACAGTGTGTACCTTTAAAAAAAATAAGTAAATAAATAAAAATGGAATAGTATGCCCAGGATTTTATTTCAATTGCTGTCATAAATTCTTTCTTAGGAGTCTGAGTACGTCTCTGCTCATCTCCATGAATGGATAGATCTGATTTTTGGCTACAAGCAGAGGGGACCAGCTGCAGTGGAGGCACTCAATGTATTCTATTATTGTAGTTATGAAGGTACAAAGCCTTGTGCTGTTTCCTTGACATAACTGTCATATTTGTGGTTTACTGAGCAATATCTGGAGAGAAATGTATCTATGTGCATTTAGTAACGTAGCATATGGTAAAAAGACAGAATGTTAACAGAAGTATAGTAGAGTATTTTGTGAATTCATCACATCTAGAATATTTGATGTTCTGATAAGGGAATGTGAATCTTTTAATTTTAAAAACCTCTTCAGCACTTCTTTAGGGATGCTAATGTTCTTTCTGTTTGTTTAAAAAATATAGTATATTGAGAAACGGGATTTTTTTTCTGGTCTACTCATAGTAATTTACAATAGTTACAAGTTTTAGAAGGTAAACCTAAAAGATCTATTTAATGAAAAATGTGTATGCTGGGTGGCTTTACATACCTTAAATAGATGAAAGTTAAATTCTTCCAGATTATATAATTAAAGC